ACTTTTTCACTAAGGTGTTTGAGAGGTAGATCATGGTAATGAATATGATATTGTGTATATGGACTTCAGTAAGGTTTTCGACAGAGTTCCACACCAGAGGCTATTGAGGAAACTTAAGGCACATGGAATAGGAGAAATTTTTTCCTGGATAGAGGCATGGCTGACAAATAGGCAGCAGTGTGTTTGCATAAATGGAGAGAAATCAGAATAGGGGTACATCACAAGCGGTGTTCCTCAGGGGTCAGTGTTGGGCCCATTGTTGTTCACAATTTACATAAACGACATAGATGAGGGAATAAATAGCGACATAAGCAAATTTGCTGATGACACCAAAACAGGCCGTCCAATTCATTCTAATGAGGACACTAGAGCACTCCAGGATGATTTGAATAGACTGATGCAATGGTCGGAGAAGTGGCAGATGCAGTTTAATATTGACAAATGCAAAGTTCTAAATGTTGGACAGTTAAATAACCATGCCACATATAAACTAAATAATGTAGATCTTAATACTACTGATTGCGAAAAGGATTTAGGAGTTCTGGTTAGCAGTAATCTAAAACCAAGACAACAGTGCATTAGTGTTCGCAATAAAGCTAACAGATTTCTTGGCTTCATATCTAGAAGTATAAATAATAGAAGTCCTCAGGTTGTTCTTCAACTCTATATATCCTTGGTTAGGCCTCATTTAGACTATGCTGCTCAGTTCTGGTCACCGTATTACAGAATGGATATAAATGCTCTGGAAAACGTACAGAGGATGACAAAGATGATCCCATGTATCAAAAATCTTCCCTATGAGGATAGACTGAGAGCCCTGAATCTGCACTCTCTCGAAAGGCGTAGAATCAGGGGGGATATGATCGAGGTGTATAAATGGAAAACAGGAATAAAGGGGATGTAAATAGCATGCTGAAAATTTCCAGCCAAGACAGGACTCACAGCAATGGTTTCAAGTTGGAAAAATTCAGATTCAGGAAGGATATAGGAAAGCACTGGTTTGGCAATAGAGTCGTGGATGAGTGGAACAAACTCCCAAGTACAGTGTAGTTTTAAAAATAGGTTAGATAAATACATGAGTGGGTGTGGGTGGGTGCGAGTTGGACCTGATTAGCTTGTGCTGCTGTGTCTGGTGCCGTGCTCCATCCTTGAGTGGTGGTGACCAGACTGGGTTGGTCATTGGGCTAATTTGGGGGGAGGGGATGGTCCTGTTCTGCATGGGTCAGTAGGCCTGCTGCAGTGTTCCTTCTTTCTTCTTCTTTCTTATGAGTAGGGAGATGGTCATATACCGAGGTTTCACTGTAGATCTGTTTCTTAATTTATAGGTATGACCTCTTGTTAAGTCAGTTGATGGGGTTAGGAAACCTTCCTTGTCAATTCTTTTATATATTTTCATATTGTTAAATGTGGTAGTACAGTGGACCCTCGACCAATGATTGCATTGATTAACGATAAAATTGGGTAACGATGTGTTCTTGCATAAAAACATTGGCTCGACCAACGATGAAAAACTCGGTTAAGGACATTCATCCCGAATGTGTCCGCCTGTCCGTCCAGCCTGAGAGCCTCAGCTGCCCTGCCTTCAGCTAGTATGCAATTGTTTACAAGCCAGGGTGGACAGTTCCACACATACTTTTGATACATTTTGTATTATTCCATTGTTTTTAGTGCTTGTAACTGCTAAATAAGCCACCATGGGCCCAAAGAAAGCTTCTAGTGCCAACTCTGTGGTAAAAAAAGGTGAGAAATACTATCGTACAACCATCAGCTGCTACTGTACCACAGTCAGCTGCTGCTGCACCACCGTCAGCTGTTGCTGCATCACCGTCAGCTGTTGCTGCACCACCGCCAGCTGCTGCTATACCACGGTCAGCTGCTGCTGCACCACCATCAGCTGTTGCTGCACCACAGTCAGCTGCTGCTGTACTATGGTCAGCTGTTGCTGCACCACAGTCAGCTGCTGCTGCACCACAGTCAGCTGCTGCTGCACCATCATCAGCTGCTGCTGCACCATCATCAGCTGCTGCTGCACCACCATCAGCTGTACTACTCGAAGATGTGGAGAGTGTGCTGTTGGTGTGGCTTCACGAGAAACAGTTACCAAGAAACGATTAGCCCCAGAGGGTTAGCTACCCAGGATAACCCAAGAAAGTCAGTGTGTCATTGAGGACTGTCTAACTTATTTCCATTGGGGTCCTTAATCTTGTCTCCCAGGATGCGACCCACACCAGTCGACTAACACCCAGGTGAACAGGAAAAATGCCTGTAACTCGTGCTCATATTGGTGAACTTAAGGCCAGCAAAGGTTGGTTTGAGAGATTTAAGAATCATAGTGGCATACACAGTGTGATAAGGCATGGTGAAGCTGAAAAATTCCAACCTCAACAAGTGTTCAATTGTGACAAAACAGGCCTGTTCTGGAAGAAAATGCCAAACAGGACCTACATTACTCAGGAGGAAAAGGCACTCCCAGGACACAAGCCTATGAAAGACAGGCTAACTCTCATGTTTTATTGTAATGTTAGTGGGGATTGCAAAGTGAAGCCTTTACCCATGTATCACTCTGAAAATCCCAGAGTGTTCAAGAAAAATAGTGTCTCATCACTCATCAATACTTTTCAATAAAGGTAAGTGTCATTTTAGTACTTATGTATTTATTGTGCATGTCTCATTGTTTTCTTTGTAGGGAAATGTATATTTCATGTAAAAAAAAATAATTTTTTTTAATACTTTTGGGTGTCTGGAATGGATTAATTGGATTTCCATTATTTCTTATGGGGAAAATTAATTCAGCTAACAATAAATTCGGCTAAGGACAAGCTCTCTGGAACGGATTAAAATCGTTAGTCGAGGGTCCACTGTAATGTCATCATCTTTTCCTCCTATCAGCCAAAGATGGCATATCCAATGCTTTCACTCTCTATTCTTAACTTGTATTTTTTTCCCCCTATGGTAATCATTTAGTAACTTGTCTTTGAACATTTCCTATCTTGCTCACATAATACAGTGGACCCCCGGTTTACGATCAGCTCCCAATGCGACCAATTATGTAAGTGTATTTATGTAAGTGCATTTGTATGTGTATGTTTGGGAGTCTGAAATGGACTAATCTAATTCACAATATTCCTTATGGGAACAAATTCGGTCAGAACTGGCACCTGAACATACTTCTGGAATGAAATAATATCGTAAACCGGGGGTCCACTGTATTTTGGTGCCTCCACAATATCAATGCTGCATACTCCAGTTTTTATCCAAGTTTTGTCAATTATAACTTTTGAGTATTTTCCCATCCAAATACCTGAATGATGTTCTAATTTTTGCTATTACTCCACAGGAGTTTCTACTGATGTCAGTATCTAACAAATGAATTGGATGATAACCTGAAATTGTGATATGATGTATTATACATGATTTGGTAACTGTAAACAGCACTGTTCAACAATTATGAATTTTTGCTCTATACAGCCTTTCCTCATTTAGTGACATACCTGTTTACCGACCACTTGGACTTATGACCAGCTCTCCAACCAGTATGCAACCTAGGTAATGTATATTAGAGGTGATTTTCTCTATTCTGCTTATTACAGTACAGTGGTACACCTCGAGTTTCAGCCATAATTCGTTCCAGAAAGCTGTTTGCGTGCCGTTACTGAACGAGTTTGTTCCCATAAGGAATAGTGTAAATTAGATTAGTCCGTTTAAGACCCCCAAAAATACACTTAAAAAAACACTTACAAAAATACACTTACATAATTGCTCAGTTGGGAGGTGTTCGAAATTCGAGGTGCCACTGCATATAGTACACTACTGTATAAACATTTAAAAATACATATACTAAAAATGTTATAAATGGTGAAAAGGTGATATTAAAAGTAATATCTAAAGACAGTTGACACAAACCACTACCAGTACAGTATGCTCTTCACTTAATGACCAATTTGCTTACCAACCTACTCTTTGGAAATGAACTTGGTCAGTAAGTGAGGAGAGGCTGTAAGTGTTATATTATTTGGAGTTCTAGCTCAAGGGCCTGCCTTTTAACATTTAATCAACTGTCATGGTTTAGCCTCAATCTATCCACTTCTAAATCTCTGGAATTAAGACTCAAATATAATTTTTTCAATACATTTACAATGTGGAAGTACCATCTAGCATCTTTTGGTACACATTCTCAGTCATGTTAACTATTTAATCCTTTAAGTTTAGATTTCAACATGCACATATGAAGTGATAATTCAAAACATACCTGATGTTTTTCAAAACATTACAGGCATACTTATGACTTCATAATTGGATTATTCAATTTTATATAACTACTTATGAAAAGTTCTCTCATAGGTTGGGTTTGCATGGTTTAATTATTGTTAATTCAAGATAAGCATTTTAGGGAGTGAGTATGGCCAGCGCAACAGGAGACAATAAGTTATAAATTTCACTTATGATGTCATAAGTACATATCTTGCTTAAATCTGGAAAAAAATTAAATATGCTATGACTTGCCAATTCATCTATGTATGTTGAAATCCCTACTTATGTCAGCAACTAACTAGTGAATCAGACAATAAGCTAAAAGTGTATTTACACTGTGAGTTTGCCTTAATTTCTATTAATTATGCTGATGTTAGTATATAAGTGAATTGCATCTTTAATGGCCCTTATGCAGTCAATAAACCTCAAACCTACAAAACTAATATTCTTGTCCTGTGTCCATCTATATTAGCAGGAGGTCCTTGTCTATTTTGCATGTCATGACTGTCTTCTCTTCAAATGTACTCTTCCAGTGTAATGAGGTTCATAGATTTTCTTATTACTTAATTAAAATATTGCAGAATATTTTATTTATGTAAATTTAGGACTAAATATTTCACCTAAAATGCAGAATAATTTTGACACAATTGACTGTCAGCTGTATACAGTACACAAAAAATATGTCCAAGATTAATATTTGGAGGGGAACAGGATCTTGGTTACAGGTTGCGGGATGGCCTTAGCCTCACCTCGCAGTCTCAAGTTCTCAATGCCGTTCTTGCGACGAGTAACTGCTACACAGATGACAACAATGCCCACAATGATGACGACAATGGTAGCAATGACAGGAACCAGGACATTGAGATCCAGCCACTTCGGCCACCAATCAGGAAGCCAGGTTACGTGTCTCTCCATGACATTCGGCGGCAACGTGGCTGCAAACAACACAATGACATAATGGCTTTGTCAAGCCTCCAGGTTTACTCGAAGACTTGCCAGGAGCAGAACCAGAACTTGGCCAGCAGGGGTCTCCATATGCATCTACATCTTTGAAACACTCTTGTGATGCTTTATAAATAAGAAGCTGTATATACACAGCTTCTACAGCCAAGAATGAATTAGCACCCAAACTGTCTTACCTGTATTTATGCTGAAAAACCTGTTTGGAGTGATGAAAAGACAGTGAAGCTGAGAGCCGGAAAGAGAGCCAGAAGATAAGAATCAAAGTAGAACATGCAAATGAAGATGCTAATCTCGTGAGATTAGGCAATATTCAAGGATCACATTCTCTTGCCCTTACCAAATTTTCCATTTGCAATTTTTGTTTTAAACTATATCAGATTCAAGATTGCTACACTCTTCATAATTATCACTCTTTTTTTTCTGCACAGTAGGTGAAACAGATTTAAAAGACAAGACTAATGATCCTGAATATGAAGATTAGCACCTCCACCACTGGTCATACCTTTGATGGGGGCATTGCGACCTCTTAGATAGCAGATTATAACGATGGCCAAAACGATGACGACTACAGCCGAGACCACAGGAACGATGAGGTTTAAGTTGAGGTAGAGCGGGAGGCCTCCAGCCCCGAAGGCAGGCACTTCACGAGCCGGGGCAATAGTACCTGCAACACCGCACGCTCAGCAGCCTGGCGCCATCAACACCCAAGGAACAAGCTGCCAAGGCTCTACAAGTTGTCTTATGCATCTATCAACATTTAGGTCCTGGTTTATAACCAAATTTTTGGTGATTTATGAATATTGATTACATTTTGTAAATACATTAAAATACAATAATGAAGTTATGAACTTAACAAAATAATTAAGTGAGTTTTAACTAATAATGTTTCATTACAAATAGTGGTCACCAGTTGAGCTATTTATTTTTATAAATTTGAATGTTTTATAATTCTTTCTATATATTTCCTAAACATTATCCTTCTTGCACATATTTTTCATTACTCATCTCTTCCACTGGAATGCTATTAAGTATTTACAACTATAGATAAGAGAAGTACTCACGTACGGAGAGAGAGCAAAGCTTAAGTTTTATAACCCGTGTCATAAAAAATATTAGCGATTTTAAATGAATGTCAAATTATTATATTACAATTAAAAAATGCTTTACTGATTCACTAAAAACTGCTCAAATTACTGTTTTTAAAAGTTTGTGTTAATCTTCAATGCATAACTGCATATATACATATACAGTGGTACCTTGATTTACGAGTGCTCAAACTTACGAGTTTTCCGAGTTATGAGCCATTGCTCAGTGATTTTTTGCTTTGAGTTGCGAGCCAAAATCCGAGTTACGAGCGAGTTTCAGATACACCGCCACTAGTTGGCAGCAAATCTGAAGTCAAATCCAACTTTGTACCCAGAGAAATATCGGGCATTTCATACTATCCCACATGCTCTTCCAAGACGTAACTAGAAGGATAATACTCCCACACTAATTCCAGATTGTATTGAGGCACCTCGTCCCTTGTTTGGTTAATGTGTAAATCCAAGGAAGAGGTAACCTCCATTTCAACACTCAGAGTTTTTCCAGAAACATTAAGGAAGGCTTCCAGATATTTACATGCCTCAAGGAGGTTCCTTCAGTGGGTGGAGTAGTGATGGTGGTGGGTGGAGTAAATATGGTGGTGAAATAGTGAGGGTGGTGGGTGTAGTAGTGAAGGCAGTAGATGGAGTAGTGATAATGGTGGGTGGAGTAGAGATGGTGGTGGGTGGAAATAGTGATGGTGGTAGGTGTAGTAGTGAAGAGTGTAGCGAGTAAGTTAAGTGATTAAATGACAGAGTCTATGACGAAAATTTTTTTTTTTTTTTTTTCAGGGGCTGGAATGGATTAATGGCATTTCAATTAATTTCAGTGAGGAAAACTGATTTGATATACATGTACAAGCAAACGGAGTTATGAGCTAGGTCACGGAACGAATTAAACTCGTACGTCAAGGTACCACTCTGTGTGTGTGTGTGTGTGGGGTGTGTGTGTGTGTGTGTGTGTGTGTGTGTGTGTGGTGTGTGTGTGTGTGTGTGTGTGTGTGTGTGTGTGTGTGTGTGTGTGTGTGTGTGTGTGTGTGTGTGTGTGTGTGTGTGTGTGTTGGGGTGTGTGTGTGTGTGTTTGTACTCACCTAGTTGTACTCACCTAGTTAGGTTGCGGGGGTCGAGTCCGAGCTCCTGGCCCCGCCTCTTCACTGATCGCTACTAGGTCACTCTCCCTGAGCCGTGAGCTTTATCGTACCTCTGCTTAAAGCTATGTATGGATCCTGCCTCCACTACATCGCTTCCCAAACTTTTCCCACTTACTGACTCTCGTGGCTGAAGAAATACTTCCTAACACCCCTGTGATTATCTGTTCTTTAGCTTCCAACTGTGCCCCCTTGTTACTGTGTCCAATCCTGGAACACCTGTTTTTGTCCACCTTGTCAATTCCTCTCTATTTTTATGTCTTATCTTCCCCCCTACCTCCTGTCCCCGTGTCGTCAGGTTGATTTCCCTTTTAACCTCTCCTCGAACATACCTCTTAGCTCGGGGACTAGTCTTGTTGAAAAACCTTTGCACTTGTGTGTTGTGTGTGTTGTGTGGTGTGTGTGTGTGGTGTGTGTGTGTGTGGGGTGTGTGTGTTTTGGTGTTGTGTTTGGTTGTGTGTTTTGTGTGTGGTGTGTGTGTGTGTGTGTTTTGTGGTGTGTGGTGTGTGTGTGTGGGGTTGTGTGTGGTGTGTGTGTGTGTGGGTTGGTGTGTGTGTGTGTGGGTGTAATTAAATAGCTAATAAAAAAACCCTTTTAAAAAAAAAATAAATTCCCTCAGTTTTGTTTCCATATTAAGGACACAACTATTTCAATCAGATGTTAAGATTTTCTATATTTCAGCAATTCAAAATAAATGATCAACTAAAACACTGAAAGATTTCAGTTTACCAAAGATACACCTGTAAGACCAATCTTAGAGTAAAACATTACCAATTATTTCTTGACAACAAAAATATGCACTGTGAGCCCTTTTAAGCTGTCACTGATAGACAATTTTACTATGAGTGATCTTATAAAAGACCTTTCTGTAAACAGACTGCAAATGACTACTTGTAATACTGACAACTGGTAAGATATCCACATTCAGTGTTTTTCTGTACCCTAACCTGGCTGTTCAAAAAAAAAAAAAAAAAAAAAAATTGTAGACAGAAATCATGAAAAAGCTATAATGCAAAATAATGGAAAAATATGTTACAGGAGAGCCAGGTTTGAGAACAGTTTGCAAATGTGGATGGAATTATTAGTAACTTGGCCACGCTTTTGAGATGTTAAGATGCTTGGTTGCCTTACAGGTACTAATGCTCGTTGGTCAGTTTGCTACCAACAGTCCAGGTCAAACAGGGTCACTTATAAAATAGTTTAGCCGCCTTAACTACTTGCAGCTGAATACCTGATTCACAGCACTCTCCAGATGGTGAGTCTTGTCCCATTAGTTATTCTCTAAAACTTGCAAACTTGATAAAAATAAATTGCCACATGTGCATGTGTTAGGCAAATGAATATTTTACAGGTATGATATCACCTGGATTGTCTGCTATCACTTGGTAATAAATGTGAGTGGCCATCAAGTAAATGTGGAATATACATGACTGACCAGGTTTTCTCTGAACTGAAAGTGACACACTGTTACTTGTTAGTTGATACACACAAGCACTGAGAGTAGGTGAATCAGTCACAAATAGCAGCACAACACTGCAGCCAGTACACCAAGTTAGCATATACAAATTATTTAGCATGTAACACACATTTAAATGCCATATAAGTATCAATTTAAATTTATGATAATGGAAACAAAATTACAGTAAATTAAGAAAAAATAAAACAGTTTAATAGTTCAAAATCAAAATTTTTACCAGTAATAAAAGTGATTCATCTTCTTTCAGTTTAGAAAATGCAGGGTGATAGAGGCAGCTTCAGTGTAAATACTGCATGCTCCCCAATCATATGCACTTGCATATAATTACTGATAATTAAAAAAAGATGCATTGCAAGTCCTTTATCAGCAACTAAATCAAGATTACACAATACATTCTACATGTTATGTAAGATAAGTGTTATTATATCTTCCAAATTCTGTAAACAACACATTAAAACTGATTTTTGTCAGTCTGAATATCTTTAGTATTTCATCAACAAAAATTCATTGTAATGTATTGGAGCATCTATTGTTCTCAGTGTAATGCTACGTGATGGATATTTTGTGTTGAATCTTCCCTGTAAATAAATCTCATAAAGGGTTATGCTGCATAATATTCTATCAGTGGACTTTTGTCCTCTAGCTCACACACACTTATAGAAGTGCTTCAGCTCTCCATATCTATAAGTTGACGATTTGGAAAGGAAAATAGTTTTACTTTTCATGGTCTGAATAACAATTTGACATTTGAGAGATTAAAGCACTGTAACTATTAGATTGGTATAAGCAAACATTTGCTCAGAGTTATATAGTTACACCATCCTCATGTTTTCTTTAACAAGTTTAGGTGAATCATTGTGGTGGTCTTGATGTTGTTAGAGTCCCAGATCAACCTGAAAATTCTCATCACTGATATATAAACTCCTGGTACTTGAACCAATGAGATTTTTAAAATCACTGAATATGAAACTGAGTACAGGCCATCCCTGATTAATATATTGGTTACATTTCAATAACAAAATCTTCAAGTTAATTTTTGTAAAGCAAACATTAGAGTCAAATCCCGAAATTCGCGTGCTTTGTAATTCACGTAATTCAGTTACACAATGATTTTACTTAAGGCCATTTAGCTTGGTGACTGCTGTCTTTTAGCATGGTGCATGACCCTTAAACTGAAAACCAACCATAGGATTGCATTCAATATATACTCATTCTTTTCAGAGCAAAATCTGAAAGAATTATGGCCAGTAAACTTCTAAATAAAT